ATTGATGTCCGCGTACTCGAACGAGCCCTTGCAGCCTCATCGATCTCTGGCGTGCCCGGCACCTTTGCTCCATCCTTAAGCGAGATGGGATGTCGTCTCTTCCGGATCTGCTTTGTCGGGAGTTGTTTGTGGGGGTGACCTCTTCTGGGCGCTTTCGGCGTGACCTTGAAGTCTGCGTCATAAAGCACTCCGGGAAGGGTGGTAACTCCCCTCTTTGGAATCGAGCTGAAGAAAACGATCCGGCTCCTCGTTGAGAGCCCGTAAAATCTCCGTATCATGTTCAATCCTTCACGAACTCGATGTCCATGGGTGGTGAACCATCCGTAAGCGCGCCGAAGGTGGCTAGCGATGCCCGCGGCGTTCGGAGACCGAATAAACGGCTGTCGGGCGCTCCATCTGGGACCTTCTAGACATAGGGTGACGTTGTGCGAGACCTTCCTTGGTGACCGGACTCCCAGGGAGTTGCCCGGCGGGCCCTCAAGCCTAAGACGGCTGAGGTTGATGGAAGGGAGAGATGGGGCGGCAGAGTGAGTCAGCGCCAACTCTCCTTCTAGTGTGATGATGAAATCTAGGTCGCCGAAACACACGTGTGCGCCCGGGACCCAGGTGATTGCGTGGGTGGCCATCCGAGGCCTGATTTGGAACGCGCAAGCTCCCTACTGGCGCGCCAACTGTCGGTGTTTCGTACAAGCACCGGCAAGTAAATTTATAATGTCTGGCGTTAGGCTCGGATGGTGCGCTAAAGGACACAAGATTTATACTGGTTCGGGCCGAAAGTCCCTACGTCCAATTTGTTGTTGCTCGTGTTATTAGCACCGTGAACGGTTTGTAGTAAGGGGTACAAATGATCGATAGAGGGACTGATCCTAAGTCTCTGATGGAAGGGTTGAAGGGATGTCAAGAGGTTTGACACAACTTGACTGTGCGTATCTGAGAGTCGTCTCGTTCGATCTTTTTTCTCTCTCCTTTTTATGGAGGAAGCGCATCCCCTTTTATAGATGAAGAGGCTAGCTTTACAAGGGTGAGGGCTTTAGGATGCGTACTCTACTTAGTCTTGTGGCTCACGTCTACCCGGCCTGGTTCTTCATTCTGATGAGTGCGAAGGAAGATAAGCGCCTACCATACTGTCGATGTCTCTCAGAGAATGTCGTTGGTTACAGAATGCTACACTGCTTGCAGGTATGGGCCGCAGATGTTGGTTTTGACTTTTGAGCCTCCCCTGACCTTTGCTCCGCACGCCTATCCTGGTTCCTATGAGTCTTTGTCGGAGGGACGCGGGGTCGGGTGCAGAGTAGCGCCAGTGGCTAAGGTCTTCTGTCTTGGTGGACTGAGAGGGTCGGAAGCGGGCGCCGCTCCCTTGGGTCCACAGCGTGGTGACGGAATATCCGTCGTTCGTGGAGATAGCAAATCCTTTTCTGGAGCGTAGTGGTTGTCGTATATCTTCGTCGGGTTCCGTGTCCTAGAGCTGAAGGCGGCGCCTACAACTCTACAGGGTGGAGAGCTCGCACCTGTGACACCTTTCGGCTCTGCGGCGCCTGGAAGGGCCTAAAGCGCCTGTCCCGTCATCCCCTGGCAGTACTTTTCCTGCCAGGGTGTAGTGTATGGCTCTTGGAGCCACGGTTGACCTGAACGTCTTGTCTTGCCCTGTCTCTATCATCTTGAAGGAACAGGGAGAAGTGGTCAGGTAAGATGAATCCAATCTTTAGATATGGAGCAGAGTGAGGCTCGTTCCTTGCCGTCGGGCGAAGCGGAGACCAATCCCTATCTCCTGGGCGAGACCGACCCCGCTCCTCCTGGGTCGTGGTGCGGCGGAGTCTATCCTCAAATTTCTCGGGCGAGACCGAGCCCGCCTAAAGACGTCCGAGGCGAGACGGAGACTAGCCTGTGCCCTCAGGCGGCAGAGCCACATCAAAGGCGTCCAGGCGAGTCGGGTTTATCCTCGGCCTTGGACGAGATCGAGCCCGTCCAAAAGGCGTCCAGGCGAGGCGGAGACTAATCCTCGGCCTCGGGCGAGACCGAGCCACCCAAAGGCATCAGGCGAGATGGAACCAAGCTCTGTCATTCCCGTGAGGGGTGAAGCAACGCTCTTATCGTCGAAGTTTTTAACGTTCGGTGGTTATTGGTTCCACCTTCAGGGTACCCCGTATTAGGTCCCCGACACGACATCCTAGAGAGGGGCTGCTTGGACTAGCTAGAAAGGGCACAGGACAGGCCATTAGTCCACATCCACCAATTTAACCACTTCAAAAGAATAGTTAACAGTGGAGATTTGATAAACATTTCACAACTTTTTGTTTTTTCTAGCATTTCAACTTGTTTGATGTACATTTGCAACCAACCAAAGATTTTTGGGGAAATTGAGGACTTACAGTCTATATAGCATATTAGTTGTGACCTTTGAGGGGGGTTTATATTAGACATGCACTAAAGACAATAATATATATAAGAGGATCTAACATAAAAAGAAGGCAATGACATCCAATATAATTATATATAAAGGTATTCCCATAGACAAAGATCCAAATTTTAATTAAGGAATGTTTTATATGCAATTACAAAATGGAGAGGATGCTAAGCGCGCTTGCCCCAACCCAAGGCGTCTCGGCGGACCTCTCGCCGGACAGCCTCGCTCATGCCGCCGGCTCAAGCTGCAACCCCGCCACCCCAAACAGGCCAGCCCTTTTCAGCCCCGGCGGCCACCACCATTGCCACCACCGCCACCACCACAAGTGTCCCGCCTCCGCCCACGACGGAAGTCGGGCCCGAGAAGGCTTTGCACCGAGATGGCCATGACTGACTCCCCGACCAACCAGGTGCAGCGTCCCGCCCAAGCTCCCAGACCGGACATTGTCTTCCACGATCGTCTTCACCATGAGTTCTAGGCCACTGCTGCCCCTTCCTTTCTTGCCTTTCTCCTTCCGTCTTGGCGACCACAGGTCACCCCCAAGCTCCCGTGCTCCTTAACTGCCACAAGGTGAGCAATGCTCTGTCCTACCATTTGGCAGCCCCTCCGGTTAGGATCCTTGTCGTGGCCGTGGTCCGCTTTGTCTTCGCCACGACGTCGCGAAGTTCCTCCATTGCCGCCTTCATCTATGTCAACGGCTCGATTGGGAGAGACAAATTCAAACTGTCCATCCACTTCTCCCGAGGCCACGCTGCCTTCGAGGCGGAGCGGCTGATTCAGGAGGCAGAGCGGTGACGTCAGGAGGCCGCCTTAACACCCCCACCCCCGACGTCCCCGCTGCTCACTCAGGACCCGTTTAGTTTGGCCAAATTTTAGAAATTTGGTTAACGTAGCATTTTCGTTTTTATTTAATAATTAGTGTTCAATCATAGACTAATTAGGCTTAAAATGTTCATTTCGTAATTTCCAACCAAATTGTACAATTAATTTTTTTCGTCTATATTTAGTACTGGTATTTTTTAGAAAAACTTTTTGGAACTACAAGGCCTCAATTGTTCCGCCTGCCCC